CCTCCGTGGCGCCCTCGCCGGACGCCACACTCAACAAAGAAACAATTGGAACGGACTCACCAGTTGATGATGCTGCTGTTGACTGCTGCGCTGCTGTTACGGGCGGCGACGGTGCTACTTAGCGTTCGACCGTTGGTGATTAAATGGCCAACGATTTCCACGTGGTTGGACGGATGGTAATTCTACCACAGGTTGCGCTTGACAACCACCAAACCCCGACAAGCGATGTGGATGCGGATCGCTTTCCACCGGCCAAGGTGACGGTTGCCGGAATCTTTCGCCCCGGGGATGCAGATGATGGCGTTGGAAGAGGATGTAGCCGTCGGCTGTTGAAAATACCATTAAGCACATTGCACAGATTTTCTTTACCGAGCAGCACATTACCTGGTCTAGCTTGTTTTTTGCACACACAAAGTCTAGCCTATGACGCACACTACTTTTAGATTGATAGCTATAACTAAACAGTCAACGAGGAGAAATTAGAATTCAAGAATAAAGTAAAACCACGTTGCTTTAACTCACTATACAAAACTATCAAATAACGCGAACAAAAAAGGACACACTTCCACTGTTATCTGCGGTTCGGACGAAAGTGAGGCGAAACCGTGACCCTCAGATTAGGGAAGGTGACCTCGGCCGAACTTAACGGAAGTTCGATTTTCCCGCGAACTTCTTCGAACTAGATCGGCAATGCGAGAGATCATTCCGATCGCTGGTCCTTCGTTCAATGTCGGGTGTAGCCACAACTCTCTCTTTTCCCAACTTTCCCGAAGATTTCACTGGACTCGGCCTTGGGAGAAATTGCACAAGGTCGTGTGGCTTTACTCACGAGATATTCTATTTTTATAGTAAATCGACCAGTGTCGTTTCGCTACTGGCGTAGTTTTTGGCGTATAGATTAGATCCATTTCATCCTACTTTAATTATAGCTAATTTGATATTTACAACAATGAGTGACTGGCTGTTTTAATATTTGCAACATGGAGTGACTGACTGATTTAATATTTACAACACGGAGTGACTGACTGATTTAATATTTACAACATGGAGTGACCGTTACAACTACTCGAATGAAGTGGTTAATTGACTTGAAATTGAATAGACCAAGAACGACATTCACCCATATTCTTGTTTTCGTTCGAACCGTATTTACCATACAAAAAAACTTTTTTTTTTGTATGGAAAATACGGTTCGAACGAAAACGAGAATATGGGTGATTGACCAGCTGTCTGCACGTTCAAGCGAGTTGAACGCTAAATTGAATCATAAAAACCGAAATTTAAGCCAGATTTAGACGGTTCAGTGATTCACTTTGTCATGCAGTTTTGGCTTGATTTTCTACCAGAAACTTCACAAAACTTGGTCCAGCGCTTTTCGACATTTGGTTAAACGGTACTCAAATTTGAGACCTACCTAGTTGCACTACTTTTTATCAAGGTGACTTATAGTACGTTCAGACTACAGAGTTATAACATATTATAGCGCTATCTTGATGGTGGTTTCTGTGTTGCAATTAGTTGACAACCGTTAAAACATGTTATAACTCTCCAGTCTGGACAGCGTTTTATGCCTTGTTCAGACTACAGATTTATAACATGTTATAGCGCTATCTTGATGGTGGTTTATGTGTTGAAATTATTTGACAACCGTTATAACATGTTATAACTCTCCAGTCTGGACAGCGTTTTATTCTATATATAGACGTTCTAATGTGTCAAATTCATGATTCAGTCATGTTGGATTTTTGTATGGGACAGCGACCGAATTTGTTTACAATTTGCTCTAAAACCGCACTTTTCCCCCCGTGACCTCCTCGCCTATATAGTGACAAAGCTGTATCACCATGTACATATACCCATAATGCTTTTTATGTTCGCTTCCAAGTGACGTGCACCTTGAACGTTGAATCAACTTGAACTAAACCGTGTATGTTGACACGGTAACCGTAAAATACCCAATAATGACTACAAACGACTCGATATTGACTACAAAGTATGCATTTTCGAGGGATACTGGGACTACCCGCCCAGTGGCAGGCGCATATGCAACATGTTATACATTGACAGCGGGTCCAGCACAGCAAAATAAATTATTAGAGCCCGGGACATGCTATCTACTGTCAAACGCTGCTGCTGGACGCTGGTATAGGCCTTGTCACTGGCCTGGGGACTACCCATTAAATGAGTAAAAACATTACCCGTTTATGAGTATTTGTTACTCACAAATGAATAATTACTACTTATATTTGTAGTTGTAATTACTCATTTAATGGGTAGTCCCAGTTTCCCTCAAAAATGCTTACTTTGTAGTCATCATTGGGTATTTTGCGGTTACCGTGTATACACTAATAAAATTCTAAACTTAATGTTTATTTTGTCTGTGCACATAATTTTTATAAGATATTCAAAACATTATGTTTATACGTGTTAACATAATTTTCATAATAAACCCCTTACCTACTGTAAGCTAGCCCATATCACGTATATGCGTGACAAATTTTATTTATATGTATGCTGCCATAAAAATTATGGTTTGAATCTCATAGATGAAGGTTATGTGTTTTCACACATAATGTTTATGTGCTTCAATTCAGTGCACACTATTGCACAAATCGTGCTAAATCATCTCCATCTTCCAACAAAACTTGAGCATTCTCAAAGGTAAATAATAATTTATCTCATTTATCTTTAACTATTTACCATAAAACTATTATTTTCGATTGTTTTCAGCGAAACAAAATTCACATAAACATTAGCCAACAGCCGTGATGAGCTCGGAGAAGCTTTAAAATCAGAGGAAACCTAAATCTTCCGTCGGATACAAATGACGTGGCAAACGTGAGTTAGTGCAATATATATTATTTGTATGAAATTATTTTTTTTGTGAGTTCTACACAGGGATTCTTCCTGCTGGACGTGCAGGAGGAGGACGTGTAGGAGGAAGACTTGCAGGAGAAGGACGTGTAGGAGGAAGACTTGCAGGAGGATGACGTGCAGGAGGAGGAAGTGCAGGAGGACGACGCGCAGGAAGAGGACGTAGAGACTAAAGGCGGCGATGTATACGCTAGACCCTCCGAGGCACCTTCGACCTCACCTTCGACATACATCGGAGGACTCAAACCAAAAACGCCTTCACGCGGGAATATACAATCCACTGACGTCAGTGACGGTGTAAAATCTTCAGGAAAATAAATAATTTACCAGAGTCTGTATTGTTATTATTTTATTTATATTTTTAGCACATAAAATATATGAAATTGACACGTAAGCGTTATTATTTGTACCATGACTTTCATTTGAATTAGACACATAATCTTTATGTTCTACCGAGAAATAAATGTTATAAACGTCACACATAAATTCTATTTACCAAAGCAAATTAAATTCATTTCTTATATGCCATTGAATGTATTGGTGGGAAACCAAATAGTTTATATGTTCTTCAAACATATTTTTTATTTGTGAAGTCTAATTGCAAAAAACTATGTGGTTTCACACATAAAAGGTATATGGAAATTCACCTCGGTGTACTGTGATGGTATGCTTAAATACACCCTTAAAAATAATACTGAGCTCGGTTTAATTTTCTACCGAACCACTTCGGATAGCAACGATAATCCGAATGATTCCTTTTAAAATATTATTTCAGGCGTATTTTGTCGAGTCAACTCCGAATATCAGTTAAAATAGGATACATTTGACATATAGAAATGATGGCTGAATCGAAAAGAACGGTAAAGTAGCAATATCTACGAGTTCAGAATCGAGAAAGCTGAACTGATCATTCGCAAAACATGCTTAAACGTCCAATTTTAACCGAAGAAAGGGGTAAACATTAATTCTTTTATCACCGAGGCAGTCTGGTGTGAGAAGCATGAGCATGACGTGCGAGAAATTTTTAGTTTTCCTCGATTAAGACAGAATGTCTGGCGAAATTAAATAACTCATGCATATATAGGATAATAACAAATAAACTAGTCATCCATACAAACAAAACTAGGTTTATTACTAGAAATATTTGGAATGACATTCGTGTGCTGCCAGAAAGAACCAAATTCCGTAATTGCAAAAGGTGAATCGATATGTTTGACAGCGGTCGGTAATACTTGAGTAGACCGACGTAAGGTTATTCCTGCTTGAATTTATTTTTTGTCAACCGAGTTTTTTTTTTTGATAAGTTTGACAGATTGTGGGAAAAGAACATTTAACGAAAGCTCAGTAGTTCATTCTTTAATCGAACAGACTACTGAGCATTTCACAGAAAAAAAAAACTAGGTTATTATTTTCTATGTGTGTAAGCAGTGTTCGGAAAATCATTCTCAAAGCTCATTCATTGAGCCTCCTTGCAAGAATGAACTCACGTGCGAATGCGGCAAACAAAATTCACGCTTGAGATTCTCATGCATATTCACGCACTCACACTCACAACGCCGAAAAATCATTCCAGCTTTTTAAACTCATAAAAACCACTCAAACGTCAATTGATAGCATGCAATCTAAAAATGATATTAAATTGTTGGCCGGTATCTTTTTCGGTTGTGCAGATATAATACGCATATAGGGGAAATGTATGTCATGTCGGCCTAAGTGTCCCTAATTTGGGCCCATACATAAATTCAGCAATCGACTAAATTTTCAAAAGCAATTAAAAATATCCATTAGTACCGTCCCAATGACGCGTTCATCTAGATACAATTGATAAATAGCAGATTTTTTAGCGATGGGCCCAATATTAGATCCATAGGCTAACATTAGAGCCATTTCCCCTAGGTGAAGAGATCAAAAAAAATAGGATGGTTACGGCCGTACAACTTTTCTCGGGTGCTACTCGAAAAAAGTTCGTTCGATTATTGACAGCGCCTAAATGTATGCACCAGAAAAACATTATACTAAGCGTACCTTTCCGATAATATGCATCCTACCGAAATCGAACTGTCAAGTCGTTGGAAACGAGTATGTAAACAAAACACCACAAACTGTTTGACGTTTTCGGGGTAAGAGGTTGTTTGGATAAATCCGCAGCGAAAAAAAAGACGGTGTCCTTTCGGAAGTAAATCCACAGAAAAATCTCAGTTCAAAGTTAAAATCCTCAGTGAAAAGTGCAGTGCTGGTAGTGGAAAACATGTTCAAAAACACCTTCCAGTCGGGGTTTCTCTCGATTCTGTACAGTATAGGTAGCAAACCGTTGCAGATCTGGGACAAGAAGGTTCGCAATGGTCACATAAAACGTATCACCGATCAGGATATTCAGTCGCTGGTGCTGGAAATCATCGGAACCAACGTGAGCACAACCTACATCACCTGCCCGGCGGATCCGAAGAAAACACTCGGCATAAAGTTGCCGTTTTTGGTGATGATCATCAAGAACCTGAAGAAATATTTCACATTCGAAGTGCAGGTAAGTGGAAGCCAAGCGCCGGCACATAACCTTGATGGGATGGGAAAATCTTCCCGCTAAGGCCCCTCATATGCGTCAATAACATTAGAGTTCAAAATACCATTAAACGTTGAAAGGGATAGGACGTGAACCATGCACAAGGATAGCGAAAATCGATTGCTGGTAGGAGAGGGCATTGTACTTTGCCGTTATAGAGCCTTCTGCATATGGAACTGTTGAAGGTATACATGAGTCACGGAAATTGTCACCAGCCGGTTGCTAAAACAAAATCATCAACCGTCGTCGTCGTTGGTTGTACTTGTGGTATCGTATGTAGAAGCCGAATGCAAAACTCAAATGTGTGTAAAACCGTGACCGGAATTCTGGAAACACATTTTCATGAACACATCAAAGTTTTTTTTGCCAGCTTGGAACTCTCTACAACTCGATATTCAAGGGATTATTATTATTATTTAACTTTATTAGGGAGGCTTTCAGCCTTGGGCTGGTTCGCCTCCAGATATTCAAGGGACCATCGAGACATAGAATAACAATCCCATACAAAATTGCTATCACAGTGAAAATGAAATCAATTTTTACTATGGTTCTATAACTCGATATCGTAGGTGTTTCTTGCGTGTTTTTTTTTTGTAGAATTTTGTATCCATTTACTTCGGCCGTCCTTTGTGGATACGATCTTTGTCTTCTGCAAACTTCCGAATTGAATTTTATTGGTTGTGCTGTGAGTTCAGTATGCTAAGTGTCTGATATAGGTAGTGTTTCTTTCGATGGGAAAATATCGTCTGCAAAGCGCACCCACGCACGAGGGAAAAGTTTTCTAATTCAGCATCTACCTCAAAGTCACTCATGAAGACGTTCGCCCAAAGGGGTGAAAGTTTGCTACTACTAGCCACCAGCTACGCCAAATCGACGATCAAATGCACTGCCCACAAAAGCCGACACGTCCCTTTGAAAAAGTTATCGAGATTTCTACTAATTAATGAATTATTGACAATTACCTCTCATGATCCTTGGCTACACTATGATTTTAAGTTACCGTAAAACGGGGTAACATTGATAGTTTTTTAAAGTATATTCTAAATATTTTTACAGCAATGAATGTTTTTTAAATTTTATATTTTTAAAACAAGTACTGAGGATCCAAGAGTTCATTCGTCAGTAATATGTTTAACGGAAATTTAAATATTTGCACTATTTTTTTAGTGTTGCGACCGAACTTTAGTATTTTGATTTGGGGTTACTTTGATAATGCTCGATGAATGTAGAAGAAAATGAGTGAAACTCAAACAATTTAGTTCTTTAAATATGAAACTTTGAATGAGTATACAATCAGGAAACATCATAAGCAATAAGAATACAACATTGAATTTTTGATGGGTCTATGGGAAATACACGAAAATTGTTTTTTGATATTTTTGAAAAATATGTAACACATACTATATAAAAGCCATACACGATATCAACGGAAATACCCTAAGCTACAAAATAGAACCAATGTTTCCAATTTAGAAAAAGCACAGCGAGTAAACTTAATCTTTACATTGTTCTATCAAAGTTACCCGCATTATCAAAGATACCCCGTTTTACGGTACCACTTTTTGATTATTTATCAAATACCTCTCCGAGTATATAACACCCCGATGCCTTGTTGGTTTCTGGTCTCATTTGGATTGGTCCTGAATTTGTTTGATATCCTGTTCCAAGTAATTCTATTCCTTCTCCTTAGTCCATTAAAATCACGTTATTTTTTTGAGTCCCCGCTCCATATGATTCGCCATTTATAAAGATAATGGATTAAAATGGAGTAAAGCATACATAAAGGTAGATTAGTATTAGTTGTACTTGATCCAAACAATAGAAAGAAGCATAGATAAATTAGTAGGAAAATAAAACTAATATATAACTAAAAGTGCAATGGATGAGTGTTAGTTCCGGGATCATTTTAGTGTTAAGAGTTATGTTAGTTTTGATCCGTATTCAGCTCTGGTCATCTCTCTCTGATGATGAATCCCACATAATTGTAAGCGAATCTTACATCCACCGGTTGGGTGTACCACCAATTTGAAAGTTCATCTCCAGAAGCATCCGCAGAAGGACAAAACGCTACGGTCCAAGTGTCAGGATTAGGAACAAGATTTGGCTCAACCTCCTACTCCCAGTACAAGCTTCGCATCTGCAGAACCATCCACAATAGATCGAATGTTTAAGGTGATTCCTTGTAGAGTCCACAAATGGCCGCCGCTTAGGCTATAAATGCACTTCCACCTCGAATTTTCAATTACACAAATCTCGGAAATTAGAGCCCCATTTCACCTGAAATTGCTACTGCATGTATGCTGCAGCGCAGCAAACTTGGAGTAATAGTTTAATTGTAATACGTGTCGTAGAAGCTGATATTTGTGCACTTAAAGTTTTGAAGTGGTAGCGAGAATAAGGATCTCACAACGAATCACCTTAAATAAACGCAACTTTGGACAGGATTTTATGTTATTTTTTTGTTTTAAAATCAATCTGAGGTTAAAAATTCACTCGTTTATAAATATTGACCATGGGTAAAGCGAATTTGGAATTATTCTATGGAGTGATGAAGTAATGAAATTGGGTTGTTAGCGGAATGCTAAATAAAACAGCAAAAACCCGAATTTATCCACCTATCAGACCCTTCTTACTTATTCAAGTTTATTTATTTTATTGTCATTATCAGTGACCAAGCCCCCCACCCCCGTGTCATTCAGTGACGCTACGCCACTGCCTGGGGGTACCCGGAATATATCCGGGTGTAGTCTATTTGGTGAGGCTACCAATCACCTTATCATCGTATTTTAATGTGATTTAATGGGTTTTAATTCAATTCATATTCAAGCAACTTCCCCGGGGTACCCGGAACATGTCCAAGTGTGTCCAATGTGGTCTGGAACACTTAACACGACTTGCATTGATCTTATTTTTGAATTCTGTAGTAATTTGATGTGTCGCATGATGGTTTTAATACGTTTTCCGTTAAATCCAGCGTGAAGGCCCATATTCACCGGATCTTATTCCGGCCATATCTCCGGAACCGGTTCACCGATTCCAAAACCGTTCAATAGCGTTCAATGGGACCCCAAGACCTATCATTTGGCGCCGAGTTCGCCCAAATCGGTTGAGCGGTTGCTGAGAAACGTGAGCGCATTCATTTCGTTACATACACACACACATACACACATACACACGTACACACACACACACACAGACATGTTCCGATCTCGTCGAGCTGAGTCGAATGGTATATGATGGTTTTGATACGTTTTCCGTTAAATCCAGCGTGAAGGTCCATATTCACCGGATCTTATTCCGGCCATATCTCCGGAACCGGTTCACCGATTCTAAAACCGTTCAATAGCGTTCAATGGGACCCCAAGACCTATCATTTGGCGCCGAGTTTGTCCAAATCGGTTGAGCGGTTGCTGAGAAACGTGAGCGCATTCATTTCGTTACATACACACACATACACACATACACACGTACACACACACACACACAGACATGTTCCGATCTCGTCGAGCTGAGTCGAATGGTATATGATGGTTTTGATACGTTTTCCGTTAAATCCAGCGTGAAGGTTCATATTCACCGGATCTTATTCCGGCCATATCTCCGGAACCGGTTCACCGATTCCAAAACCGTTCAATAGCGTTCAATGGGACCCCAAGACCTATCATTTGGCGCCGAGTTTGTCCAAATCGGTTGAGCGGTTGCTGAGAAACGTGAGCGCATTCATTTCGTTACATACACACACATACACACATACACACGTACACACACACACACAGACATGTTCCGATCTCGTCGAGCTGAGTCGAATGGTATATGACACTCGGATCGATAGTCGGTTTTTCAAGTGATATCTATACCCTTCTTTGTAAGAAGGGTAAAAAGGTTATCTTCCATTTAATTCCACTTAATTTTAGTATCCATGACCAGGGCTTCTGTCTGTCCTTTTTTTCATGAGCAGTCAACATAACCATTCATTCAATTTCAAGCTGTCCTTTGTGTGCGGTACTTCGTATACCATCCGTTGCTCCACGCTACTTTTCGCATTCATAATTCCAAATGCACAGCGTAACGAATAGGTAGAAAAATCAGTATTTGCTCCCTCTCGTAAAAAATCCTCTCTCGTTTAGTCACTCTGTTTCGTTTTGATTTTTTTCCACATTTTCATTTCGGTCAAGTTCCCTTTGTCGTTTGCTGTAGTGAATGAATGCAAAAAAAAATCAGTTCTACGGCAGTCACCTCTACCGCAGGTAGTGTTTGCAAACTTTTTTTTTACCCTTCTTACAAAGAAGGGTATAGATATCACTTGAAAAACCGACTATCGATCCGAGGCCCGGAGGGCCGAGTGTCATATACCATTCGACTCAGCTCGACGAGATCGGAACATGTCTGTGTGTGTGTGTACGTGTGTATGTGTGTATGTGTGTGTGTATGTAACGAAATGAGTGCGCTCACGTTTCTCAGCAACCGCTCAACCGATTTGGACAAACTCGGCGCCAAATGATAGGTCTTGGGGTCCCAAGTTTTGGAATCGGTGAACTGGTTCCGGAGATATGGCCGGAATAAGATCCGGTGAATATGGGTATTCACGGTGGATTTAACGGAAAACGTATCAAACCCATCATATACCATTCGACTCAGCTCGACGAGATCGGAACATGTCTGTGTGTGTGTGTGTGTGTGTGTGTGTGTGTGTGTGTGTGTGCGCGTGTGTGTGTGTGTGTGTGTGTGTGTGTGTGTGTGTGTGTGTGTGTGTGTGTGTGTGTGTGTGTGTGTGTGTGTGTGTGTACGTGTGTATGTGCATATGTGTGTATGTGTGTGTGTATGTAACGAAATGAATGCGCTCACGTTTCTCAGCAATCGCTCAACCGATTTGGACAAACTCGGCGCCAAATGATAGGTCTTGGGGTCCCATTGAACGGTTTTGGAATCGGTGGACCGGTTCCGGAGATATGGCCGGAATAAGA